TAACCTTCTTTGCATCCATACATATTTTGCCTTGTTCGATGATGTGACCCAAGAAACTATAGACGCCTGAGAAAATGAACATTTAGACGGTTTGGCGCAGAGTTCATTCTCTTGTAGCGATTGAAAACCTATCTAACATGCTGCACATGTTCCTCCAATGTCTCGCTATAGATGACGATGTCATCCAAGTATACCACCATAAAATGTTGTTGGAGGGTTTGTTAAGCCAAAATGCACCACCTTAAATTCAAAAGCGGTTACCACCATAGTTTTTGGTTCATCTTCCTCTTTGTCCAAACTTTCCAGTATCCGGACCTGATATCAATCTTTGTATAGTAACTCACCCGGCTGAATCGGTCGAAGAAATCGGCGACTAGCGGAATAGGATAACTATTCTTTACAGTGATCTTGTTCAACACTCGATAGTCGCAGTGCATTCTGAAGGAACTATCGGCCTTTTTCTGAAACAGCATGGGAGCTTCATATGGTGATTTCGCAGGCAGTTAATCCACTTTCCAACATTTTTCCCAATTGTTTCCAAAACTCTTCAAACTCCGGCTGAGACATACGATAAGGTGCCCTGGCAGGGGGTTTGGCACCTGGAATAAGTTCAATCTCATGATCAATCGCCCTTATTGTCATAATTTTTTTGGTAACTTGTCCGACATGAAGTCCTCAAATTCCTTAGTCAGCCTTCTGACAGGTTTTGGAATATGACCAGTCGTCTCTTCAATTTCCTCTAATCGAAGAGTGCACGAAAATGATGGTTCATTCCTTTTGAAACCCTTACCAAATTGTATGGCCGAGATACTCTTCTTGCCCATTTTCCTAGCTTGAGTAGTAATGACTCACTGTTTACTACCCATTATCATTAATGAATCGAAATATAGTAGCACCGCTGTCTTAGTAACCTAAAGAAACTCCAATCCCAAAATAAGTTTAAAATCATCCTTTCGAACTGCAGACAAGTTTGTCCTTCCCTCAAAAGGACCTGCTTTAAGTAACACGGATTTCGCTACTGCAGCTATTGGTTGAGCAGCGGAGTTGAATGCTTTGACCTTTCCACTACCTTTCTCCAGAACAAGTCCGAGTCGCTCCACTTCGGTACTTGCGAGGTAGTTATGGGTAGCATCCGTGTCCACCGAGGCCCTGATTGACTTTCTATTGATCTTTACATCAATGTATGTTAGGCTTTGACCGTGCAAATGCGAACCTTTGATTCTTCACTCTTTACATCTTTCGAAGGAACATCATCCGTTTTAGTAACTCAGTGCGATAGTGTATTGCACCGATGTGAGAATGCACCAACTACATCCTCATCCTCTTCGGAGTCAGTCTCATCGTGACAGCTAGCTTGTGGAACATCTTACTTTGAACTTATTTCGCCACCCGCTAGTTGATAATATGCATTTACCATCCGTTTATGAGGACACTTCGCCACCCGATGGGGTTCTTCACATAAAAAGCACATCAATTTAGGAGTGGCATCAGATCTGCCCTCCGTTGCTTTTCCTTTGTTCCAGTTGTTACTGTTGCTCCCGTAGTGACTACCTTAG